TCACTCCATCCTCCTCTCTCTATTTCCATCCTCCTCTCCCTCTCTCCATCCTCCTCTCCTTCTCTCCATCCACCTCTCCCTTCTCTCCATCCTCTCCCTTTCTCCCTCTCTTCCTCCCCTCCCTACATTTCAGCAGAACGTATGTCTATGGATTTCAGCTACATACACAGCGGAATGTACATATGAGGGAAAATACATAAATGAAATAGAATATAGGATATATACAATTTTTTTTTACACAGCATCAAATCCAATCAACTAGACACAAAACATATATAGCTGTGAGTGTAGGCCAGTATCAGTCCTGCTGTGTATGAATAACTGTATCAAACAGTTTGATTGGCTTAGTCATATCCCATGTTTCCATGGTGTCCACTAGTACCTTTTTCATTCTTCTTCAATAGGGCTGACCCCATTTAGTTGACTGGACGATTGTTTGGTCGATAGGCTGTTGGTTGACCAATATTTTGTTTATTGAGCAGTGGCAAATATATTGTAAAAAGTTTAGGGCACACGAGACACCTGTCTGATTCACGCTTGTCTGAGTGGACTAATCCATTGCGGAGGCACACCAGTATCACCACTAGTACATTTACCGTTAATTACCATCATTTCTAATCGCTAATGTTTTTTTGGTTACGAAAATGTCTGTTAATGCATTCAATATATTATTATTACACTCTTACAGTTGTCATTGTAGGAGTGGACACACTATACAAGTTTTGGTTTATTTCATTCCATTTACGAGTTGTCTTTTGTTTGGAGTACTCCTGTCAATCTTATAAATGTGCCCATTTGGGGATCTGGTACTATTTCTGATCGTCTTAACTCAGCATCACTGTGGAGCTTCTCAAATAAAAAAATTATTTGCCTCAAACAGCAAGTAAACGAAGTCTGTTTTTACATCCATTGATAATGACAATAGTTCCTCAATGTAGCCTATTTGAAAAATCTTTCCAGCTCTCTCCCTTTCGATAACAACTCAGCATCAAAGGGGGAAAAAAATGTCATGCTCTGATCCGGTGGAAACATCATAAAAAAAGGCCTACCTGATTATTTGCGCAAATAGCCTACAGCTGTGTCTGTCTGTCCGGAGATCACTGGTGCAGGAAACTCTGAGGGCCCAGAATATTTTATACAATGTTGCAAGTTTGCTAGCACCCAGCTTTGGTCCTTACCTAGTGAATAGTTTATATAATGTTTCAAGTTCCTTGCAGACAGGCCATGCGTAACCAATGTGATTTATAAGCTATTTATTTTTCTCAGGATATTTTCTACCTGCAATGTTTTTATTTGTTGGCTTTACAGTGCCTTGCAAAAATATTCATCCCCCTTGGTGTTTTTCCTATTTTGTTGCATTACAACCTGTAATTTAAATTGATTTTTTATTTGGATTTCATGTAATGGACATACACAAAATAGTCCAAATTGGTGAAGTGAAATTAAAAAAATAACGGAAAAGTGGTGCATAAGATCTGGTGCAACCAATTACCTTCAGAAGTCACATAATTAGTTAAATAAAGTCCACCTGTGTGCAATCTAAGTGTCACATGATCTGTCACGTGATCTCAGTATATATACACCTGTTGTGAAAGGTCCCAGAGTCTGCAACAACACTAAGCAAGGGGCACCACCAAGCAAGCGGCACCATGAAGACCAAGGAGCTCTCTAAACAGGTCAGGGACAAAGTTGTGGAGAAGTACAGATCAGGGTTGGGTTATAAAAAAATATCAGAAACTTTGAACATCCCACAGAGCACCATTAAATCCATTATTAAAAAATGGAAAGAATATGGCACCACAACATGAAAGGGCTGCCCACCAAAACCCACGGACCAGGCAAGGAGGGCATTAATCAGAGAGGCAAAAAAGAGACCAAAGATAACCCTGAAGGAGCTGCAAAGCTCCACAGCGGAGATTGGAGTATCTGTCCATTGGACCACTTTAAGCCGTACACTCCACAGAGCTGGGCTTTACGAAAAAGTACCAGAAAAAAAGCCAAAAAAATAAGCAAACACGTTTGGTGTTCTTCCATATGTTTGGGAGACTCCCCAAACATATGGAAGAAGGTACTCTGACTAAAATTGAGCTTTTTGGCCATCAAGGAAAATGCTATGTCTGGCACAAACCCAACACCTCTCATCACCCCGAGAACACTATCCCCACAGTGAAGCATGGTGGTGGCAGCATCATGCTGTGGGGATGTTTTTCATCGGCAGGGGCTGGGAAACTGGTCAGAATTGAAGGAATGATGGATGGCGCTAAATACAGGGAAATTCTTGAGGGAAACCTGTTTAAGTCTTCCAGAGATTTGAGACTGGGACGGAGGTTCACCTTCCAGCAGGACAATGACCCTAAGCATACTGCTAACGCCACACCCATGGGGCGGCGCACAATTGGCCAAGCGTCGTCCAGGGTAGGGGAGGGAATGGCCGGCAGGGATGTAGCTCAGTTGGTAGAGCATGGCGTTTGCAATGCCAGGGTTGTGGGTTCGATTCCCACAGGGGGCCAGTATAAAAAATAATGTATGCACTCACTAACTGTAAGTCGCTCTGGATAAGAGCGTCTGCTAAATGACTAAAATGTCAATGTAAAATGTTTAAGGGGAAACATTTAAATGTCTTGGAATGGCCTAGTCAGAGCCCAGACCTCAATCAAATTGAGAATCTGTGGTATGACTTAAAGATTGCTGTACACCAGCGGAACCCATCCAACTTGAAGGAGCTGGAGCAGTTTTGCCTTGAAGAATGGGCAAAAATCCCATTGGCTAGATGTGCCAATCTTATAGAGACATACCCCAAGAGACTTACAGCTGTAATTGCTGCAAAAGGTGGCTCTACAAAGTATTGACTTTCGGGGGGTGAATAGTTATGCACGCTCAAGTTTTCTTTTTCTTGGTCTTATTTCTTGTTTGTTTCAAAATAAAAAAAACATTTTGCATCTTCAAAGTAGTAGGCATGTTGTGTAAATCAAATGATACAAACCCCCCAAAAATCCATTTTAATTCCAGGTTGTAAGGCAACAAAATAGGAAAAATGTCAAGGGGGGTGAATACTTTTGCAAGCCACTGTTTGTAGGCTATTTTTACATATTGGCAATGGAAATAGATGTTACTTTTAGATTTGCATAATTTTCATGTAGACAGAATTTTGAAACTAAATAAATGAAACTGTTCCACGAAAATGTGCATATGAAAATCATAACTGGCATGCAGATCAGTAGAAATGGTACGATAACTTGACCTCCAAATGTAAAAGGTTGCCGACCACTGTTGTAGCCTATTACCGGCAACTTCAGGATCTTAAAGGCAGAACCTGCAAAGACCAGCGGGCAGCGAGAGGAGGAAGGTCGGGTCGGAATTGTTTTCTTTCTTCTGGTTAGGCTATATTGATTTCTGGCTCCCTCCTTAGTAATTTGTGTGTCTTCATTTTTTATCGCAGTGCTTAAAGCATCTATATATGGAAAAATAAACGTTAAAAAATGTAAACCAATCGACTGGTCGAAAGAACAGACGACTCTCGGTTGACCAAGATTGTTTTTAGTCTGTGACAGTCCTTCTCTTATTTTTTTCATGAGCATGGCCTTATTTCTATTACAGCATGTTGGATTCCATTCACCCAGTTCAATGTAACATCGATAGGTTTAGGCTACTACATGATACTCTAATTTTCCCTACCTAGCCTATGAATGAAACTTTACAACGTAGGTGCACATTGGTCGACAGAACATTTTGAGCTGACAGACAGTGACAGTGACACATGAAATACCGCCTTGCACACCTTCGCCTGCATCTAGCATATCTAGGGTGTAATCATTGGTCCAACAGTTGCAAACAAGAGTTTCTATTGGACAAATTCAGGTATTTTTATGCCCGTTTCATTTGCTTCCGTTTAAGAAATGAATACACCTCTGATCATGCATAAACACAGTTCACTTTCATAGTAGCCACGTTGTATTCCTTCTCGCCTCTATGCACTCTCTTCCTCTCACCTTTTCCCTTCATTTGTGGACTTCAATGAACAACACATCAGCTGTATGTGACCAGGCGAAAAAACCTTTCCAAGCCAAACCATGTCATAACTGCTACACACGGCCTACATCGTTGTCCCCATATTAGCTAAAGAAACGTCCTAGTCAACATAGCTAATAGAACTAATGTGTTAGTAAACCTGCAGTAAACCATGCAGTAATGTTAGTCAGTAGTAAGCAGTTACACCAGCGGGCCCCCGGTGGTAATACATTAATAAAACCAAAAGCTTGGAAGAGTTCTAGTGTTGTGTTGGATAGTCATAGCCAGCTAGCTAACATAGCATCCCTCTGTTTGAGCCGGGTGTTGAGTAACTAAACTAGCCAGCTGCATTTGCTAACTAAGTAAGTGAAACTGAATGTGAAAAGAAATGACGAAATCTCTCTCTCTCTCGCTTCTCCTTCATTTGCTGAAAACCATTCAACTATTGTCTTTCTCTCTCTTTGAGTCAAACTACTCACCACATTTTATACACTGCAGTGCTAGCTAGCTGTAGCGTATGCTTTCAGTACTAGATTCATTCTCTGATCCTTTGATTGGGTGGACAACATGTCAGTTCATGCTGCAAGAGCTCTCATAAGTTGGAGGACATCCTCCGGAAAAGTCTATGGAAGGGGATGAGAACCAAGAGCCTCCTAGATTTTGTATTGAAGTCAATGTACCAAGAGGTGGACGGAAGCTAGCTGTGCTACGGCTACACCATGGTGCTACCCTACAGAGTGCTGTTGAGGCTACTGTAGACCTTCATTGCAAAACAGTGTGTTTTAATCAATTACTTGGTGACATATATTTAGTATAGTTTTACCTAAAAAGGATAACCTTTTCAATGTTTAACTATTTTTTTTATGAAATTCACTGAGGAGGATGGTCCTCCCCTTCCTCCTCTGATGAACCACCACTGGTGTATGTGTGTGTATGTGTGTGTGTGTATGTGTGTGTGTGTGTGTGTGTGGGTGCACTACTACCAACTCACCGGTCTCAGACAGCAGCTTGATAGACTCCAGGACGCGCTCGGTGTAAACGCCAGGCTCGTAGTTCTCCATCTCCGCGTTGATGATGTGGACGACGCGGGCCGCCCGACCCCTGATGGCGCCCGCCGTGCGGTCCAGGGTGTCCACGTCGCCCTCCTGCAGGGCGATCACGCACTTGTTCACGTCCTCCAGAATGTGGTTTTCTGTGGGGTTAAGATAAAGGGAGAGAGAGAGAGAGAGAAGGAGAGGGAGGGAGCGATAGAGAGAGAGCGGGAGAGAGAGAGAAAGAGAGAGGAGAAAGGGACAAGGAAAGCAAGAGAGAGTTGGAGAGAGAGCGAGAGGCGGGGGTGTGGGTCGGGGGGGTGGGGGGTGTCAATATGGTGTTCATTAGGCACAAACATGCTTCATGGGATAGTTTAGTAACTTGAGGGTCAACTGCTGTTTGATAAAAAAGAGAAAGCCCAGATATCCCTAAAGCTCATTGCACAATCATTTTAACCCTTTCGGCAGGTAGCTTAGTGGTTAAGAGCGTTGTGCCAGTAACCGAAAGGTCTCTGGTTCTAATCCCCGAGCCGACTAGGTGAAAAATCTGTCGATGTGCCCTTGAGCAAGGCACTTAATCCTAATTGCTCCTGTAAGTCGCTCTGGATAAGAGCGTCTGCTAAATGACTAAAATGTCAAATGTAATTGACAAGGGTCCTTGTGGACTACAATAAAGACAGTTGCAGAATGAGGTGGTAGTCTTTCAAAAGACTCTACCAAAACGTGCACCCCGTGGGGTCCCGAGGACTGAGTTTGGGAAACACTGCTACCATAAAGGTGACCTGTACTGTGTATGTGTGAACGTGTACGCTCACGTGTGTGTGTGTACTTACACGTGTGTGTGTGAATGTGCCTATGTGCTCACGTGTGTGTGTATGTGTGCATGCTCGCATGTGTGTGTGTCTGTGTTCTCCTCTTTTGAAAGCGATTCATTTTGAACCATGAACCTGTATTTGTCGCCTCTCTGTTACCCAGACTACAGTAGAATTATTAACAAGCTCCATCACAGTAACACAGTGAGTGGGTGACCCCATCAAGGGCGACCGCCATGATGGTGTTGTTCAGATGAAAGGTCTAAGCATGCATCCCAAATGGCACTCTATTCTCTCTCTCTGTCTCTCTCTCTCTCTCTCTCTCTCTCTCTCTCTCTCTCTCTCTCTCTCTCTCTAATGGTCAAAAATAGTGCACTACTGTATATAGGGAATTGGGTGCCATTTGGGATGAACCCTAAACAATAATTAATTTCCTTTAGAAAGCATGTTTTTGTCCTGGACCTGCATCAATAGCCACTTACCCATTATGGCCTATAAAGCTTAGATCCCGTAAAAGCTGAGAATATTGTGTTCTACCGTTGTATGTCCTAATGACTAAATCACTTAATTATCATGGGAATCTGTATTAAATGATATCACAGTCATCATCATTAGAAGCCATATAGGCATCTACAAGAAAGCTTTCTCCTTTCTCTGAATGGGAGCAGAAACTATGTCGGATAAATGCGTCTTTCGGTGTAAAAACACCGTACTTACCTATACTGTACACTGTACAAACACACAGAGTCTACTTTATCTGAGGCCGTATGTATCAAGCGTCTCAGAGGAGAGACATTTGAGACATTTGATACATACGGCCCCAGGTGTTAAGAACTGTTATACAATAAACAGTTATACTCCGAGACATAATATATGTTGGTGGCAGTGGAGGCTGGTGGGAGGAGCTATAGGAGGACAGCTCATTGTAATGGCTGGAATGGAATTAATGGAAAGGAGTCAAACATGCGGTTTCCATATGTTTGATACCGTTCCATTAATTCCATTCCAGCCATTACAATCTGCCCGTCCTCCTATAGCTCCTCCAACCAGCCTCCTCTGGTTGGTGGCAGCTCAGTTGCCACTAGTTTAAGTGTTAGAAAACACTTCATTTTAACAGTATACAACATTTTCTAATCTTTCCCGATTCCATACCTGACACGGACAGGAAGTCATCCACGGAGGTGATGTCGTCGACGGCCTCGGTGAGGATGCGCACCTGCTTCTCCCATTGGTCCTTGAACACATCCATGTTGTCCTGGGCAACCTTGCTCTGGGGCCGAGCGGCCAGAGTGAGGGCCGCATTGATCACCTGGGGGGTAGAGAGTGGAGGTTGAGAGTAAAGGTGTGTGTGTGTAGGACCACCTAAGTCAAGGGGATCTCCAAATCCAGTCCTGGAGTGCTTACAGTACAGGCCGTGCAGGGTTTTATTCTAGCCCAGTACTAACACATCTAATGAAGATACTCATATAATCGTTCTCCTTTCCAGACTGAAGACCATGTTAAGTGGAATCAGATATGTTATTGCTGGGCTGGATTATAACCCTGTAGCTCTCCAAGACTTCAAACCCCTGACCTAGACTAAAAAACTGAAGTGGCTGCTAAGGAAACTCTGCATGACTAGCTTGAGGCCATGACCAGGACTGTACATCAACAATTAACTCCCTTGCTATATACATTAGAGTAATTCAGTAAGTATGAAGCCTTGCATAAGCCTTGGTACAGCCCCTAGATAGAGTAGAGGGTGTGAAATGGACCACGTCAGAAGTACAGTAGGTTATAGCACAGTCTAGTTCCCTTTCTGCAGTGAGTTTTCTTAAGAACATTAAAGGGATAATTCACCCAAATTGAAAATGACAATAATGTAATTACCAATTAAGCAGTCTAGTCTACAGACAAGGTAAGACAGCAATCCTTGCTTTGGTTTTGTGTATGTCATTTTGTAATGGGTGAACTATCCCTTTAAGGGAGGGGGTTCGCTGGATACATTTCCAGCAGATTGAACAGTAGGATAGTTTGGAAAGCTGGATGTCTTCATAGGAGAAAAAACATTGTTATTCCCAGGAATGAGAACTAATGATCTAACAGATAGACAATGTTCCAGCCCTGCATGTGTCCATTACATGGATAATATCCAGTTAATATATTCATATTTATTCAACAACGAGTGGTAAAGCAATAGGCAGGGTGCCATTCCTACTGTAGGCATGTATGACTGACTAAATCAATCAGTTTATTTATCTTAAGGTAGCGAGCTGAGACAACCACAATTTCCCCTAATGCCTTCTTAAAGTGAAAGTTCACATTTTTTTACAAAAGTTTTATGTTATTTTCTACTTATGTATGGTGCTGTCGATTCATCCAGGTTTTTTTTTTTGTTGAAGTCCATTCGCTTGTTAAAGCTCGGAAAATAAGGTAAAACCTATATATTTTTTAAGTCTGGCAATCCCTGCCTGTGTGTGATTGAATCCTGGGCTCACCGGCCTTCTCACTATGTTATATGTATCTTTCTACCATTTAATTTCTGTTTATACCTTTCAATAAAATCAGGAAAAAACACAAATTAGAAAACAATGCGAATAAGTGAATGAACCCTTTAATTACTCTTTGCCTTTACAGTTTCTACTTTTAGCTCAATTAGCCTAAAAGAGGCTGATCAGGGATCAGGGTTTGATAGGCACTAATGATGCCTGGAATCAAGTAAAGACAGTCATCTAATACACCGGGGTCGCTCACGCTAAACACACACACAACTTACATAACCCTCCATTTTTGTTCTATTCCCCATTCTCTTTTGTCTTTAACCCCCCTGTCATACCGACCTGCTGTCAAAACACAAAATTCAAAAAAGCACTCAAACATCTGAGTCATCTTATTGCGTGTGCATGGGAATAATGTGATTACTTAAAAGAAAAGACAAACTCGCACACTGCTCTTGCTAGCATCACGTTATTTATTCAAGCTCACGTGGCCTTGACAGGGCTTTTTTTCTTGGCCTTCGACAGGGCTTTTTTTCATGGCCTTCGACAGGGCTTTTTCAAAATGTCAAAACAACCATCTATTTTTCCCCCACCCTCCTTTTTTCTTTCTTTGTGTCATTTATCTTCCCTCCTTTCTCTGCGCTTTTTCAATGTTGAGCCGTTGCCCCGAACCTTAACCTTGGAAACAACGTATCGATTGCCACCTACTCCTTTGTCAGACATCCAGAGGAAGGCCGCTCCGGGAGGCCTTCCTCTCCTTCTCTTTCTCTCTGTGATCTCTCTTTCTCTCCTCTATCTTTCTCTCTCTCTCTCTCTCTCTCTCTCGCTCAATTCAATTTCAATTCAATTTCTATTTAAGGGCTTTATTGGGATGGGAAACATATGTTTACATTGCCAAAGCAAGTGAAATAGATAATAAACAAAAGTGAAATAAACAATAAAAATGTTACAGTAAACATTACACTCACAAAAGTTCCAAAATAATAAAGACATTTTAAATGTCATATTATGTATATATAGTGTTATAATGATGTGCAAATAGTTAAAGTACAAAAAGGAAAATAAATAAACATAAATATAGGTTGTATTTACAATGGTGTTTGTTCTTCACTGGGCATTTTTTTTTGTGGCAACAGGTCACAAATCTTGCTGCTGTGATTTTACACTATGGTATTTCACCCAATAGATATTGGATTTGTTTTCGAATTGTTTGTGGGTCTGTGTATTCTGAGGGAAGTATGTGTCTCTAATATGGTCATACATTTGGCAGGAAGTTAGGTAGTGTAGCTCAGTTTCCACCTCATTTTGTGGGCAGTGTGCACATAGCCTGTCTTCTCTTGAGAGCCAGGTCTGCCTACGGCGGCCTTTCTCGAATAGCAAGCCTATGCTCACTGAGTCTGCACATAGTCAAAGATTTCCTTAATTTTGGGTCAGTCACAGTGGTCAGGTATTCTGCCACTGTGTACTCTCTGTTTAGGGCCAAATAGCATTCTAGTTTGCTCTGTTTTTTTGTAAATTCTTTCCATGTGTCAAGTAATTATCTTTTTGTTTTCTCATGATTTGGTTGGGTCTATTTGTGTTGCTGTCCTGGGGCTCTGTGGGGTCTGTTTGTGTTTGTGAACAGAGCCCCAGGACCAGCTCGCTTAGGGGACTCTTCTCCAGGTTCATCTCTATGTAGGTGATGGCTTTGTTATGGAAGGTTTGGGAATCGCTTCCTTTTAGGTGGTTGTAGAATTTAACGGCTCTTTTCTCTCTCTCTCTGTCATCCCTCCCTCCCTCCCTCCCTCCCTCCCTCCCTCCCTCCCTTCCTCTGTCTCTCTGTCTCTCTCTCTGCCTCTCTCTCTCTCTCCCTCTGCCTCTCTGCCCCTCTCTCTCTCTCTCTCTCTCTCTCTCTCTCTCTCTCTCACTCTCTCTTTCTCTCTCTCTCTGTCTGTGTGTTCCCTCTCTCTTTCTTGTTGCCCACACAGACACACACAGTACTAAGATGAAGAACGCTGCCTGCGCCCATACAAAGTTGCCCATCGGCAAAGTTGATCCATTCCACTGATTCACATTCGTACTAAAGTTTTACTACTCCGTCTTGCTCACCATGTACCATTACTGTGTGGGTTTTCATTGATCATTGTTAAAAAGTTGGTTTTAGAGTATAGTGATTCAGAGATATTTAATAATATATACTTACTCTCTTTTCAATGGCACTTCCAAATGCACTTTCTTCCCTATGGCATGGCAACCAAATAATACAGTGTGTTTAAAAAACTGTAAAATAAATGTAAAAGAGCTCAACCGGATACCTCCAATGGGTGGTGTTATTACCAGGGTCATGTTAATATGCCATTCATTACAATATGCCATGTTCAGTAGGGCGTAGTGTCACAATCACATTTTGCAATGGAAAACAACAATTGGTTCAGGAAAAGAGTTCAGGTAGTTACCGTCCCCTGTTTCACTCTGTTTCAAAATGTTTTTTCTCTCTACTGAACAGGATCCAGGACATACAGTACAGTGAGGTGCTGCTTACCTGTGGACAGAGACTGTCAATCTGGGTGGCAGCCATGCGGACCAGCTTCACCCCCTCCTCGTTGTTGGAGATGGAGCAGGCCAGGTTAGCCACCTATAGCAAGAGAGAAGACACAAAGACTAAGCCACTTTTTAGCAACTTTTATTCTAGTAACGGCATCTACACCATTCTGGTCATTTTAATAAATAATAGCAAATGAATGGCAGACAAATATCAATACTTCATTAGGGTTGGCTAGTCATTTGACTGTGTTTTTGGTAACTCGAATGACAAAATACACAGTTTTTGCCCTTTTACATGTTCATTCGATTCTTCAACAGGTATTCGAGACTGCCTACTACAGGCATTTAATCATATTCTTTCTCTCACGATGCAAGTACCCTTGTTATTACTATTAGCGATGGTCTGTTAGCTTTCACCTGAAACCCAACACGATTTCCCCACTAACGCTCACACTGGTTAGACTCTTATAATGTGTGCAGATAGTGATTCCTGAAGGAGGCTGTCTCCGCCACAGCCTTAACTCATGTCTGTAGCTATCTGTACCGGCGGCAGGGGATTTAATGCTTGGCTAGGTAAGGCAATGTCGGGGCAAAATATGTACTGAGGTTTAGGCTTGCTCATCTGTTAGATTGGTGTTTGTTCTTCCCCTGCGTTGAGACCTGGTGAGTGCCCCACCCCCTCCATCCCTCTCTTCCTCTCTCTTCGTCACTCTATCATTTCCGAAAAATATTTGAATTATTCAGATCACATATGGACTATAATGTGAGTTTTCCACTGGTCTATCTCAAGGGCATATTTTTCTGAGAAAGAGGGAGAAACTGAGAAAAATAATGAAAGAGGGAATAGAAAGAACAGGTTGACCAGCTTTCTTCTGTTCTACTGTGCTGACAGCATTACTGTTAAGATGGTGGCAGGGTGAGAGACTGTACTAAATTAATCCTGTTGAGTGCCCCACCCCCTCCACTCCTCTACCACCCTTTACTCCTTCCCTCTCTCTCTCCCTCTCTCTTCGTCTCTCTTTCATTTCCGAAAAATAGCTGATATTTGAATTATTCAGACACTCTTAGAATGAAAGGTGCTATCAATAACCTAAAAGAGTTATTTGGCTGTCCTCATTAGAGAACCCTTTGAAGAACCCTTTTTGGTTACAGGTCCCTTTCGGTTCCAAGTAAAACCATTTTGGGTTCCATGTAGAACCCTTTCCACAGAGGGCTCTACATGGAACCCAAAAGGGTTCCACGTGGAACAAAAAAATGCTTGTACCTAGAACCAAAAAGCGTTCTACTATAGGGACAGCCGAAAAACCCT